CCCATTGACTAAGAAGGGGGCGGACGCAGCAGCTACATGGACCCCTTCCTTTCTTTTGTTGCCAGCGCTTTCCCGGGCCGAGATATAAAGGGCAGGCAAAGCCCGAAGGCAGCTATCCCAATAGGCCAGCGGGCGGAACGAGGAGAGGGCCCGGCAATCATACCACCGCGGTCGAAAAAGCGTGTTCCCTTCAGATAACACGCACCGTAGGCCATCCTCGGCCTTCTTCGTTTTCGATGAAAAACAAATAAAATCTCGATCTCCGAAAGCGTTTTCCTTCCCCTCGGGAGAGCGTCTTCAATCCTCTCCCTAGCAAGCAAGAAAACGGGGCAAGAAAACTAGGCAAGAAAGCTAGGCAAGAAAACTAAAGCAGCAAGAAAACTAAAGCAGCAAGAAAACGGCTGCGCGTACTAACGCCTTAAACTAAGTGGGGGCTTTCGCGCTAGGGCGCCTTTATTCGTAGCGGGCTTGTTCGTACTAACGCCTTTACTAAACGTTAGCTTTCGCGCTCGCGCATACGTTTGATTGCTGGGAGAGGAGCGAAGTGCTGACATGAGTGGAATCGAAGCAACTAGTCCTGTCCAAAGAGTCCCAACCCCAGGGGCGAAAGCCGGCTCAAAAGAGAAAACTTCAAGGGATCGTCGACAAGAACTACTCATGAAGACCCAAAAACCTCAGTATGTGGACAATTCTTCCAATCCGGGTCGGAAAGAAGGGGGGCTGTTCTTTTAATCAAACAAAGTAAGTATAAGTAGTAGGGGCTTCATAGCGACTTTCATTCTAAAGGAAACCGAAGAACTCACCCTAGATACAGCTTTTTCGTACACGTTCACTTGCATCACATACACAAGTGCTCTCTGAACCGTGCAATAAGGTCACCCATAACACGGCTCTCCCACTTGAGTTACCTTAGCCCCAGGCCATGCTATTCAATGATATTGGAAAAATGGCAGCGTAACGTAACAACTAGTATTGAAAGCTGGTCGCGGAGAGAGGGAAAGCGTTTCAATAGGAGCCCTACTTCCCTCTTTGCGACCTCATCACTTCAAAAAAAGCGCAAACCAATTTCTTTCTTAGTCACCGGGCGGAGCGCACCTTTGGTACTTCAGTAGGGCGACGAAAGAAAGGCTACTTCAATCTAGGAAACAGCCGGAAACTCGAGAGGGTCGCCTTTGGAAGCGTTTGCCGGTAACCAAAGCGTCACTCCTTCCTTTTTTTTGATTATGTCGTGACGCTGACTGCCATAAACCCGGAAACGAAACAAAGTGCGTTCCCTTTCGTCAAGTAGGTAAAGTAGGCATACGAACCCACTTTTGCTTTGCCTTAGACTCTATTGGAACAAAGCAAAGAAGGAGGCGGAATGGAGAAAGGAAAAGGACAAGGGCGGTCTTGCTTGGCGCGAAGGCTGCTGGTTCGGGGGTAGGGTACGGTACTAAAGGTCCTCGGACTTCCAGGCGGTTTTTCTTTTGGGCAGCTGTTCACCGTTGGATCTCGCCAATACAGCCCCCTATAGTTTTCGTTACCGAGATATCTTTTTTTTTTTCATTGTTCCCAGGGATTTTTTGGGTAATCTGCTCCCATGCTGCAAACAGTCAAATCTGAACTAAACCTTGTCGCTCTTCTTTCTTTCCTCGCGGGCAGGAAGCACACCAGCAGCGTGCGTTGCGTGATTCTACTGTGTTTTTTTTTTTGCACTTGACTGGGTGGACAGTTGACCGGAAGAGAACTTCGATTCGCCCGGCCAGCTGGCGGGCGGCGTGCTTATCTTGTGTGACAACACTACAGAGCGAGTGGCTCTTCTAGGCGGGCAGCTGTGTGACAACACTACAGAGAAAGCGGCGCTTTCGTTTAACATGCTATGGTCTCAACGCCCTTACGAGATAGTGATGAGTTTCACGCGCTCTAAGCCCGGCCCGCGCGCGGTTAGGAAGATTGGCCGCAATCTGAGCGGTACCACCCACCCTACCCTACCACCTATAGGGGGCCGTCCGTCCTACAGCCGCCCGAAAAGGAACTGCAGTGATCTTGAATAGGGATCCTACAGCGATAGATAGAATCCCCATAAAAATACCACTAGATCGAGCACCAGTGATTTCGTATCCGGTCAAAATCTTGGCTAATTGATCGAAGTGGGTAGCTCCAGTAGACCCATAGATCATGGAACAAATAGGGTGGGTAGGCCCAACCACCACACTACACGTATAGACGCGAACCCCCCTCGTTACCGTACGTGCGACTCTCACCGCATACGGCTCGCACAAAGACTCCTAAATCCATCCCGAGCCTTTTCTTCCACCTCTCCTCTCCAATCCTCGATCAAACTTGCGTTCCCCAGGCGCTATGAAATGGGGGGTCTTTCCTTCGCCTATCGTATGTATCGGCTTGGCTTCGTCCAGAACCAAGGAGGCATGGCATTCTGGCGGGCGCGTGCGTGTAGGAAGGCCGACCACTACATAAGCTAAAAGACTACGACGACTACAAGCCAAGCCGGAAGCGACTCGCTTCTATTCTCGTTGGGATTGGATATAGATGGGGAATCTATAGATCATAGTAGTTCGCCAACCTCTCTAACTAACATACGATACAATTTCACTTCACGGCACGGCCAAAACAAAAAAAAAGAAAGAGCTTCGCCTTTAAAGGTAAAGGGCCTTCCTACGCTGACGAATGCCTCCTTTCTCTTCTCTGAAGTCTACAACAAACAAGTGGGAGAGGCAGGATTCGAACCTACGTAGAAAAACTTCAACAGATTTACAGTCTGTCGCTTTTGACCACTCGGCCACTCTCCCCTTCCCGGGCCGAGGCCCCCCGGTTCTAAGAAGGAGGGAAAAAAAGCAACTCCAACAGGCTCGTTTAGAACGAGAACATCGGGGGAGCGTTTAGCTCGTTGAAAGGTGAAGGTTCACCGGTCATCATACGCTATTTCCTTCCTGTCTTTGTCTCTAAAGTGGTTTAGAAAGTTAAATGAGGTATGGTATGAGAGAGGTGTAACTCCCCCGAAGGCCCCGGAGGGAACCCATCCTTCTCGATGAGGAGAGAGTCCTGGACTTAGCGAAAGAGAAGAAAAGAGGCTAAAGCGGTCAAAAAGTGCTAGCAGACATTTTTTATAAAAAAGTCAAAAGGGTTGGCAAGAGTTCTTCATTTTCCCCAACCTTACTTAGGCATCTTACATTGGCAGGAGCTGCCTAAGACGGGTTCTCTTCCCCAAGGGGCTTTGGGGAAACCAAGCGAGTGTCATCCCGGCAAACAAACCATCCAAGCCACCCCCGGAACTCGGTGAAAAAGGTCCCTATTTTCTATTTCAAAGAACAACTTATGATCTGAGACTCTTTATCTATTGTCTGACTTTCGGCATCTTTATTTACGAGGAATTGCTAAGTAGGCGTACTGGTTGTCTCTTCTTGAAATGCATTCCCTTGGCTTCGGTGCCAGTTAAAAAGGAAAGCCATCTCCATGAGTACGAACGAGCGGGAACCAAATCCAGTCTTGTATTTGACCTGAACTTAGGAGGCTCAGCACCTTCCACACTGGAGAATCAGAAAGAAATTAGAAACTTCAAACGGAGATTGTCCGCCCTTATAAAAAGGGAACAGGGTCTGCTCGGTGGTCTATAAAGAGAAAGTGTTCAGTCTACCGGAAAGTAAGATTTCTATCAAACCATGGGTTTCAAGCGTAACCCGCCCCACTACCAGAGATAGGGGTCTATTTCAGGAGGCTGAAAAACAGAAATTGATTTGTGAAGTTCTAATTCCAGTACTTATTGTTCCGAAAGGCTGGGAAGGAAGACGGAGATAGCGAGACTAAGCCAAGGGAAGGTTTCACGAGAGATACCTGTTACTGGGCTAAGGAGTTACTCAGGGAAGGAGCTTAGAGGGTAAGGGGAGGTGGAGGGTTTGGTTTCCGATTGGGTTGGTGTGAAGTCAGCTGTACTAAATGCATTGGATGCCTTTCGTAACAACCTGTAAGGTAATGAGAACATTCAGATATCGTATCGGGAGCGTTCAACGGTAGTCCTCCCCTTACCCTTATCATGCCAGCACCCTTCCCACCGAACTAAAGAGGTGGTCTTTCCAGCAGACATAAGATATGAATAAAGATATAGAGAATAGGTCTCCCTGAAAGAGACGTAGGAACGGTTGATGCATCTCCAATATCTGTCAAATCCCGGTAGTTCCCTCCAATCGGAACATTAGCACTATTTCAAAAAACCACTAAAGAAAGATCTCACGAAGCGATCTCAGGTTATGCATGCTTCTTCCAAAAAGAAATATTAAAATATTATTAAGATTCTTTTTCCTTTCCCCTTCTTGCCATATCTGGTGCCATTGATGGAGAGAAAATCCAGCTACTGAAAGAAAGAAAGGGGCACGGCATTAGCTCTCATCTATAAGTTATAGAGCCCCGCCTGAAATTCTGCTTTTTATTTTATTTTGTCACCTTCGCGAAAACAAGGGCTGACCCCTCTCAGCATTCCTTTGAAAAGGTTGTTTCAGAACTAAGTGATGGGAAGCTTCCCCTCCTCCATCCCCATAATCTTTCTTTTCTGATCTTATTATTGAAATATTCAAAAGTTCCAATTTTTTACCCATTTTCTCTGTCCATCCACAAAGACGAAGATGTCATCTGCAAAGAGAATATGCGTGAGGCTTTTCCCCTTTTACTTTCCATCGCTTTGATCTTTCCTTCCTTTTTCTATTAGCATAATTTATTTTGACAGCCGAAGAACTTTCTCTCTCCTTTGAATAGCCCTAGTCCTATACTGACTTTAATAAAAAGTTAGGCACTCACACTCAGTCCACATGATTTGAGTCTTCCGGGACCGTGGAAGTTACGCCCAAAAGACGGTGTTTTCTCAACTTGTCCGATTGAACTGGCAACCGAAGATGTGAAGAAATGGACTGCATTAGCACGGAATACCGGCCTCAGTAAATTCTTTAGTTGACATCGAGACCAAGTCCCATTGAATCTCTTGGAGGAAGATCAGTAGACGAGGAGTGAGG